CTAAATCACACAAAGACTCCACAAAGAAGAAGAATTTCATATCGATTTCTCTCAAAAATATCAATGCAAAAATAATCAATAAAATAGTCACAAACTGAATCCAAGAACACATCATTCATCATGATCAAGTAGGCTTCATCCCAGGGATGCAGGGATGGTTTTACAATGGAAAATCCATCAATGTAATCCATCATATAAATAAACAAAGAAAAAAGTCACATGGTCATCTCATTAGATGCAGGAAAGGCCTTTGACAAGATGCTACACCCCTTCATGTTAGAATTCCTGGAGAGGTCAGTGATCCAGTGTGTACAAAACATGATACAAACAGTATCATCAACATCAAACTAAATGCAGAGAAACTTAAACCAATTCCACTACAGTTAGGGAAAGACAAAGCTGCCCACTCTCTTCCCATGTATTCAATATAGTACTTAAAGTTCTAGCCAGAGCAATAAGATAACTAAAGGAGATAAAAATGGTACAAATTTGAAAGAAGAGACAGAATTGCTCAATATTCATAGATAATATGATAGTATACATAAGCCACCCCCAAATTCCACCAGATAATTCCTACAATTGATAAACACCTTCAGCAATGTAGCTGGATACAAAATTAACGACAGAAATCAGTAGCCCTCCTTTTTACAAATGATAAATGGACTGAGAAAGAAATTATGGAAACAACACCCTTCACAATAGCCACAAATAACATAAAACGTGTCAGTGTAACTCTAACAAAGCAAACAAAAGACCTGTATGGCAAAATCCTAAAAAGACTTCTGGAGGAATCACCATCCCTGATCTCAAGCTGTACTACAGAGCTATAGTGATAAAAACTGCATGGTATTGATATAGAAACAGACAGGTTGATCAATGGAATTGAATTAAAGACCCAGAAATAAACTCACATCAGGTCAGTCTTCCTGTGGTACCCTAACAACTGGAGCAGGTTCTGTCCCTGAAGCTGTTGCTTGTTTGTGGAATTCATTTCCCAATCTAAACTGCCTTGTCTGCCCTCAGTGGGAAGGGAGTCTAACGCTGCAGAAACTGAATGTACCAGAATGCAGGGATACTTGGGGATGGGAGGGCACCTGCTCAGAGAAGAGGAAGGATTGTGTAAAGGGGCAAAGATTCAGATGTAAAATAAATAAATACATAAATTAAAAAAATAAATGTACTAGTAAGTGAAAGAAAATACTAGAAGGACTGAAATATGGAAATGGTCTTAGTAATGGTCTTAGATAGATTAAGATGGCTGAATGTGCCATGCGGTGGTGGCGCGCGCCTTTAATCCCAGCACTCGGGAGGCAGAGGCAGATGGATTTCTGAGTTCGAGGCCAGCCTGGTCTACAGAGTGAGTTCCAGGACAGTCAGGGCTACACAGAGAAACCCGGTCTCAAAAAACCAAACCAAAAGAAAAAAGAAAAAAGAAAAAAGAAAAAAGAAAAAAAGATGGCTGAATGTTTCCTGAAAAAAAATTCTAGAAACCTTTTGTATTTTATAAAACTGTGAATCAGTCATGTAAGAAACATAAAGGATGAGAGTTAATGTATTTTAATAAGTGCATTACTGTGTTTTTTATAAGTCAGCTAGCTCCCCAGTAATTGAGACTATGCTAATTAATATAGTTATTTAAGAAGCTTTAAGGGCAAAATAACTGAATATTTATGACTCTTTTAATCTTCTATTGTAAGGACCCCCGAAGAGGACCCCCAACGCAAGTCCCGATCAGCGCACACCCAAGGAGACACGAGAGACTGACTTGATGCAAAATAGCAAAAGGCAGTTTACTAACAAGGGCCCTTGGATCGAAACTCATCCCACGCAGGGGAGAGAATTTCGATGAAGACCCCAGGAAGTTTAGAACTTTTATAGGGGGAGGCACAAGAGGGAAGGGAAACGCGGGAAATTCTGGCGCGGTTACATATGATTGGATATTTCAAACATCAGCACTTTGCGTAAGCAATCATTTTGACAGGCTGGATGGCCCACTATTTTTGACCATGAAGCCTCAGACCTTCTAGGATAAACACCAGGTGGCCCATTACTCACTTGGGCATGTTTAGACTGGTCAAGATATGTCTTTGGTTGTTTCTACATTTTTGGTCACCTTGTCCCTAGAGGGGCTTGTTATTTTTATTATGGCCATTCTCAGCAAGCTCAGCAAGCTGTCCTGCGGTCTTTGCCAAGTTGTTTTTAATTTTTACTCTCACACTATACTAATCTGGCTACAAATCCCCCAAATCCCCAACATACTTGCATTTTATGTCATCAAGGTCTCCTCTGAACTCTCTCTCCCTGGGTAATCTCCCTTTCTCTCTTTCTCCCTCTCCCCTGGGGCTGGGATGAAATCCTGACCTATTTTCTCCTCTGCTCAGTAATTGGCTGGTAAACTTTTATTCAGAAGTCTGGGAATAAACGGTGAGTGGTACTTATACAAAATAAGAAAGGAGATACTTAGATATGCAGCCAGAGAAGTCAGCATTTGAATAATATAAAGATAATCTTCCCACAGGGCACAGAAACATTATGTCTACATTTCCCCTTGTAGTTAATAAAGGCCCTTTCTGTTTAGAAACTTTGGATAAAGTGTTCTATAATCTATTCTATCTTGGTGAGTTTAAAATTCTGTGTCTAAATCATTCTTTTTTATCATTTAAAAAAAGATTTATTTATTTATTATGCATATAGCATCCTGCCTGCGTGTATGCCTGCTCAGGAGAGCAGTCAATGCTCATATCTCTGAGCCATCTCTCCAGCCTTAAATCATTCTTTACTGTAACTTGCATAGACCTTGATACATGTTCCTAAATCCTAAACACTTTAAACTTATATGGGAGACTATAGCTGTCTAGTCTTCAACCCCATCAGACACGAGAAGGAATAATTATTACCTGAGTGTGTACAAAGTGTAAGCAAGCAGCTTCCAAAATTAAAGAAATGACAGAAAAAAGCTGACTGCTTGCACAGGTTCATCCTTACTGGAGTTCAACGATCTCCAAAGTGTTTTCAGAGCTCTGATCTGTGAGCTAAGTGATTCTAGGAGCTGTGGGAAGGAGGGAAGTTAAAAGTAGTAGTGATAACTTGTTGACCAAGGTCCTGAGCTCAATTCCCAGCACCCACATGGTGACTCACAACCATCTGTAATGAGATCTAGTGCCCTCTTCTGGCCTGCAGGCACACATGCGGGCAGAATGCTATATACATAATAAATAAATAAATCTTTTAAAAAAATGATAAAAAAGAATGATTTAGACACAGAATTTAAACTCACCAAGATAGAATAGATTCTGGCCTAACATTCCAACGAGAATTGGCCAATGTCTTGCCCAAGGATCCATACCTATGAAACAAGGGTCTCACCCTAAACCATAATAATGAAATAGATGCAATAATTATTTGTTTTGTACTTGAAGCCCGTCTAAGGGTGATTCAATATCAACTAGCACTAAACAGGTCCTTCCTCCTCATTGTACTTTCTTGATTCAACACAGGACATAGTGATGACATCTTAAATGAGTTTAAAGAAAACAGTGTTTATAGAAAAGACAAAAGAATATATGTTTAACAAATCAATATGAATATTTTCCATCAAATACTATTAATCTTGTTTTTGGATTAAGAAATTCAAATACTTTTAATCCCCATACTCAGTAAAACCTTAGTTTCTCAAAGATCCACTTGTGTCTGGTAGGAATTTGATGAGCTGGAGCAGGGCCACTTTTCCCTTCCTTCTTCATATCCAATGCAGTAATTCTTTCTAGACTACTCAAATGAGTAAGACTGAGGTGAAACCCAAGCCAAGGGGAGATGATACGCCCACCATCTTCTTTGGAATAAAAACCAAGGAAGGCTCTGCTTAGGGCAGGAACATAGCCTCTAGATGAAAAGTACAGTTTTCCTTTTCCAGACACTAAAATGACAGTGCTGGTCTCTTCCTTGGCACCCTGAATTTACTTCTAATATGCCCACATAGAAAACAACTTTAAGATTGATTCAACACCTGTCTGCTGCCATTTATTTCTGGGAGCCAATCCAAGACTTTCTCAGAGGTGCTAGTTCTATGTTCTTGTTCAAGGGTCAACTTGGCAAGGTCTGATGTGGTGCTTGAGGAAGTCTTGAAGGAGTCAAGGGAACCTGGCTCTTGAGCCTGTTGGGCTGTGGTTTTCAGTCCCAAGACCTCCTGTGCTCAGTTGGAGGTATCCTATTCTTCTTGTCAGCATTGCTGAATTGGTTTCTGCTGACTTTGTCTGATTCTCCCTTTGCAAACAGACAAACAGTGTATCAGACCTGTACTTTTTTTTTTTAAAGGAGGAAGGGTTTTATTTTGGCGCCCTGAAGGAACAGTGCATCACGGTGGGAACTAGACCTGTACTTCTTAATAAACTTGTCTGGCATGAGCCATCATCATTGTATACTGATACCTCCCTGGACCAGAATTTTTGATGTATTGTGCCATAGACCAAGCTGGGTTAAACTACTGATGGCCTGCCTCTGCCTCACAAGGTATGATAAGCCAGTGCTACCACAGAAGGCTGGGAAAGTGTTGCTGTTTGGCCAACGATGTGCAGCTGAGAGAGGCGTTGGCGATACGTGGTGTGCCTTATCGAAATTGCTGATGCCTGGTAAATATCCTTCCGGTAGTTTAAATTTGACCTGAATGGAATGGGCTTTCTTTCAGTTGTGTGGAAGGAGCATCAATCCACTACACATCGTTTAATGACCTGCAAATGCTAGAGACCCTATGCCTGTATGAAGGAGAAGTTCCTACTAGGTGCAGGTGTAAGTTCTGCAATGCCAATCTCTGTTCTGTGCCTGGGATGGAAGGTAGGGCTGGGAACCACTGTGCTGCGTCTCTTCACAGCGCTCAGTCGCTAAGGAAGCTGCTCCTGTCACTCAGGCGTCACTAGCTAATCAGGGCCTGGAGGCGGAACACCGGTCGGAATGGAGGCGGGCACTTCCGGTCTGCCTTGCCTCAGGTTCTGCTGTGACTGTGGAAGGCGCTCCTCCGTCCATGCTCCGCGCGGTGACCGGCTTCCCGGAGCTGTGAGGAGAGCGGGCGAGCTGGGACTCCGTGCCATGGTGAGCGGGGCCGCCGTCCCACGCGGGGAGGATCGCGGGAGCCCGTGTGGCGTTGTCCCGGGGTGCGGGACCCGGCGGCGGGACGCGGCGACCGGTGTGATCGCGTTTGTTCCCGAGGCCTCTGCACCGCGCAGGCGGAAGCGGGACCTCTCAGTGACGTCGTTCCCCGACTGCGCCTGCGCACAGCGTGGGACGCGGGAGCTCTGCGTGGAAACCGCCCTGGGCTTGGCGCACCCTCGCGCATGCGCGGCTCTCAGTGTCGGGGTAGTCAGTGCTGAGCCGCAGAGCTCTGGCTTCCCCGCGTCGTCTAGAAGTTCCGCACTTGGCACCTGACGTGCAGGAGCAGGACCCGTCTGCAGTTAACTCTGCGCCGGTGTCATCACGTCTGTGCTGTCCACGCAGTCGCATGTAGATGCCACCGTGGTCCAGTCCCGTGTGTTAGGAAGACAGACCCGCTGTGGTTCCCTCCTCAGGTGTCAGAATTGACCGAGCATTAACTGTGGTTGTGTCCTAAGTGTTCTCTCACGTTCTGCGGGTGTCCGTGTTCTGTCTCAGACGGCGCAGTCTTTATTGCAGGGGTAGGGGAAGTGTTGAAGTCAGGTGGTGTCACTGTGCTGTTTATTCAGTCTGTGTTGTTCATGTTTCCCTTCATGATGACCTTTCGTCGTCGGTTTTCTGTCGTTCGCTGCAGAAATCGTTAGAATTTTTGGTTTTCGAGACAGTTTCTCTGTAGCCCTGGCTGTCCTGGAACTTTATTTGTATTCCAGGCTGGCCTTGAAATCAGGGAGCTACACCTGCCTCTGCCTCCCAAGTGCTGAGATTAAAGCACCAGGACTCCCAAGGAACCCTTAGATTTTTTTTTTTAAAACTGAACTTTCCTTGAATATATAACTCAAATATTTCGTTGAAATAGTATTGAGGCTTCTAGTCCAAAATTATTGAATCTCCTTTGACCAAGTTCCATGATTCTTTTAATTAGAAGTTATAGTTTTGGCTACAGGTATTTGTCATATTTCTATGTATTTCTGACCATTTTATCCATGCTGACATAGAAGAGATATAGGAGTCTGTATTTTTAATTTACTAAATTTCTTTCATGTGTATAAATTTGCTTCCATATAAGTTTGTCCACCACTTGGGTGTTTTGTACCCACAGAAGACCAAAGAGGCCATCACACATTCTGCAGCAGGATGTAAGGATAATTTTGTGCTACCATGTTCATGCTGGGAACCAAACCCAGGTCATCTGAAAGAGCAGTAAGTGGTTTTAACTGCTAAGCCATCTCTCCAGTCTTAAACTTGACAGATTTTCAAAAATTAATTAATTGTGTATACATATGCCCAAGATGAAAACTGACTGTTAAGAGAATTTAGGTTTGCTTAAGAATTTGTCTCTGAGTATTGAGAGTACGTATGCTCGTCAGACATGATGAGCTTGGAACAAACTAGACAGACTGGCCTGTGGAGAAATGTATAGGGTACATCCTGATTAATGATTTATATAATAGTGCCATCCCACTGTGTGTGGTGCCACTGTGCGCATGTGGTCTTGGGTTACAGAAGAAAGCAATCTTCGCAAGCTGTCAGATCAGAGCAGTGCCTTAGTCAAAGTAATACTTCTCTTATTGAAGGAAATCATTAATTAGGGTTTGCTTATAGTTTCAGAGGTTTGGTCCATTAATGTCTCGGTGCGGAGTATGGTGGAACATTGTTAGACATGGTGCTGGAGAAATAGCTGAGAGTTCTAAATCCAGACTAGCAGGCAGCAGGTAGAGAGGCTGTGAGCCTGGCCTGAACATTTGAAACTCCAAAGCCCAGCCCCAGTGACATACTTCTTCTAAGAAGGCCACACCAACTCCAAGGCAAAAAAAGTCCTAGTTCCTGTCAGACAGCACCTCTTTCTAAGCATTTAACTCTATGAGCCTGTGGTACCATTCTTATTGGAGCTATTAGAGGCAATGAGCACCGTTAACCAGGCTGACAGCGTATGTGGGATGGATAAACCTGCAGTGAGTAGTTATGGAGGTTTGTAAATCTGTTGGCTAGAGCTTGAGACTTGGCATTAGAAAGAGATTTTCTGTTTACTAAGCTCTAAGTGTGTGGTGTGATTTCTCATTGGGAAGACACATTAATTCCAGAACGGCTTCACTTTTAGGCTTTTGCAAAAATATTTTACAACAAGCTCTTACGTTGACTCAGGTTCTCTTCCTTAGCCACAAAGGCCCTGCCGCCTCTGAATCAACCTCCTCGTTTCTTGGATTAAAGGTTTCTAGCACCACACAGTTCTAAAAACACCAATTTAAATCATGTAGTAGACTGGCCATATCAATAACAAGAAAAAGATTTGTGTGTTTCTTTCTTGAAACCAGAATAGAAGGAATAGTTTACTGTGTAAACTGCAGGAGGAAACAGAAATAGACAGTAGCTGGATTACAGGTTAAGTTTCAGTGCTGCCTGCTGGTCTCCATTTTAATGAATGTTCTGATGTTTCAGGTGACTTTCTGGGTACTTTCCCAGCATGCATTAATTCATATGACAGGAATGAAGGCAAACCAAATTGGTGGATGTTTAATTTGGGGAGATTACCTTGGGCCAATGAAATTTCCACTTTTCCAACTCTCTCATATGGGTAAGTGCAAACCTGGTTGGCTCTCTTCAGTGTGGTGAGAGATTTGAGACACAGAGCATTTGTCTACACAGGGTAGATCATAAACTGTCTTATTAATGGCATTTGCTTTACCGGGAATGAACTTAATCTGTTTTAAAGTCAGTATACCTACATGATCTGTAGTTATTTTATTTCTTTTAAAAGCCAGGTGTTAGCATCTGGCATAGTGTGGTGCCAGCATTTTGTCTATAGACTCATGTGTTTGACTGCTTGGCTCATAAGGAGTGGCACTATCAGGAGGTATAGTCTTGTTGGAGTAGGTGTGGCCTTGTTGGAAAAAGTCTGTCACTGTGGAGGTGGGCTTTGAGGTCTCCTATAAGCACAGGGCTGGCCAATGTGACAGATCTCTCCTCTTCTGCTTCCTGTGGATGAAGACCAAGAACTCTTGTGTGCCTGGACGCTGTGCGTCCTGTCATGGTGATTATGGACTGAACCTCTGAACTGTACCTAGTCCCAATGGAATGCTTTCTTTTATGAGAGTTGCCATTGTCATGACGTTTCTTCTCAGCACTAGAATCACTGACAGCAGCAGGAGGAGAGAAGGCCAGCAGACCTGGCTTAAGTCGCTGAAACTCAAACCCTATCCCCATGGCCCAAGACCACACTGCCTCCAACAAGGCCACACCTTGTAAACCTCCCAAGCAGTGCCTTTCTTTCCTTGATGAACAAGCATTCAAACATGGACATATGGGGGTCATTCTCACTCAAACCACCATACTGTTACTTTTAAATTTGCATTTGTTTTACATACATCACTGCTCTAATTTCTACTTCTTCTCTTCTCCAGTATTTCTCAATTAGTAAGAATTTCATCTAATTTTCTTCCAGTAGTTATTTATTTATTTATTTATTTACTTATAGAGCAATGTGTCATGTAGGTGTCTTTAGTTTTTCTGTTGCCGTGATAAAACACCATGACCAAAGAGCAAGAAAGGTTTAAATGACTGACAATTGAGCAGCACTGATCATCGTAGAAGACAATCAGGACAGGAGCCCACACGGGGAAGAGACCTGGAAGCAGTTGCTGATGCAGAGGCCGTGGAGGGTGCTGCTTCTTGGCTTACTCCATAGAATCTGCTGAGTCTGATTTCTTATAGAATCTAGGATGGCACAGCTCCCAGTGGACTGGGCCCTCCCCATTAGTCACTAATTTAACAATTACCCTACAGGCCTGCCTACAGCCTGATCTTATACAGGCATTCTCTGAGGTCAGGTTTCCTTCCCTCAGATGATTTTGGGCTGTGTCAGGTTGACAGAAAACTATCCAGCATAGGAAGCCAGGGTTGCCTTTCACTGTGTTGTTAAAAATTGTTTTGAACACCTAAAACTTCCTCTGCTGCCCAGAGGGAATAAGGTTTTCAGGTCAGTGAAAAGAAAGGAGACAACTGCGTTTCCTAGAGGAGCTCAGGTTTTTGCTGGAGAGATTCAGATGGAGAGTGACCTGTGCAGATTGGAATCAGTTGTCCACTTGCAGGGTCTTGCAGTTCAGTCAGGGTCTGTGTAGAGAAAGGGAGGTGGCAGGGACAAGGGAGAGTTCTATCAGAGGTTAGCCAGGTCACCAGTGTTAGGTGATTGATGAACTTATTGATAAACACTGGTTTTGGTCCACAGAGTAGAACAGTCAAGACGATGGATACATAAGTGAATTTATTTCTAGAAACTGAATTACTGTAGTTAAACTAGTTCAACCAGACCATAAGCGCTGGGAAGATTGCTGTGGCCCTGCCTAACAGGCCTGCTGTATTTTTCTGGCTGAACATGAACAGCCCAAGAGAAAAGGTTTAAGTTATTCTTTGTGTACTCTAATATAAGTATTAGTCCCTTGGGTACATAGGGCCATAAAGCCTTTGTCAGTCTTTTAAAATATATTTTTGAGGTCGTAATTACTTAGTTACTTAATCTCCTGGCCCTCCATATATCCCTCCTTGTTACTGTTTTACTTGTTGTTCCTACTTAACTTTGACCTAAGGTTGCCCAGGTCTGAGATAAAGGGGTGGCAGCACTGGACGTTGAGTGTGTAATGACTGTGCTCTATAGACCATACAGCTAGGAGGAGGAACAGACCGGGGGAAACTGAAAGAATTTCTGCTTAAATGCAAATCTCCAGTATAGTGTCCTTACGGGGTGGGAAGCAGAGCTGGCAATGTCTGTGTTGTGTGAGTTGTTGATCTCTGATTACAGTATAGGGGAGTTGCTGCCTTAGTGAAGCCTGTGTAGCTGGATGGCCCTTGCTAAAGAGGGTCTCTGGACAGGCCTTACAGCGGGAATGTAGCAGCAAGTAGTAAAATGCCACTCTGTTCCTGGCAGGCCGCTGGGCTCCTCAGCACCACCC